TTTTTTTTTTTTTTTCAGACTACAGGGTGTCAGGTAGTCCAGGCCGGTTTTAGGGACAAATCAGCCACAGACCGGCTTCCCCTCCAGGAGGAAGGAGCTGCTGCCCACCACGGCGCCAGGGCGTCAGCACTCACGTCTCTGGCGCTGGGTGCAGGTGAGGCCGGGGATGAGGAGAGATGAGCAGCCGCGACAGAGCGTCCTCTTCACCGAGGGGTCCCTGGGGGAAGAGCAGAGGCCGTGGGCGCCGGCTCGCCCGGGTCCCGGCTCCGCCCGCCCGCTCGCCCTCTAGCCCGCGCCTTACTGCCGCAGGACCAGCGTCTTCTCCGTGTGGCAGTAAAACCTCGCCAGGGCCTGGTTCTCCGGGTTCTGCGACAGGACGCAATGTGCAGCCTGGGGACAAGAACGGCAGCCCGGGTCATTCCGCGGCCGCAGCACCGGACCGCCCGCCCGCCCGCAGCGTTGTCTCACCTGGTACAAGAAGCTGAGTCTCTGGAAGGCCTCCCGGTCCTTCACTGGGCCCGCCATGAGTATCCGCCCCTCTCGGCGGATGCCCCGCCCCAGACCCGCGCAAGGCCTGCCGGGAACTGTAGTGTCAGGCACCACCCGCCCTGTGCATCCTTGCCTGATGGAGGCCCCAGTTTGGTATTCCTAATGTATTTATTAGGTAGGGCCCCGCGGGGCTAGTGGAGCAGGTAAAAATCTCAAAACAGGGAAATACTTCCAGGACGGACGTCTAGACTTGTCGTGTACGGAGAGGACTGTGTGCAGTATACACATCAGGCTAGACCCTCTTACTCTCCTGAAGCCAAAGACAGATGTCTGGAACATCCGTGGACTGATGTAACACACCAAAACAAGCAATGTGTAGCTTCGCGTTATATTTGTTATCCCAGCACTTGCCGCGAATTACATACAAAGTCAAAACGGGCCACCAGGCTGGACCCTGGCTCAAAACCAGAAAGAACTGGTACCTGTAAGGCTCAAAGTGGGAAAGGTCATTGTCATGAGGGAGGGATACGGAAACTGGACAAAACGTCCCTGAGGAAAGAGTTTGCCCTCAGGAGAAACAATTTTCTCCCACTTTCCCACTTATTAAAGAAGACGCTTGCTGTTACAGTACTGGCCACATGGCAGTTTCTATGGCACAGAAACCTGCCAACACTATGGCCTCTCTCTTGCTAACCATTACTAACTATTCCCTCTTAATGGCTGAGCACACCCAAGGTCAGAAGCAGAGGGATTGGAGCTGAATCCAAAGTTGAGGACTTCAGGGGACATCTCTTCCTGTCACCAGGCTCCTGCCAGGATATCCAGGTGGAGAACCAGGCTTCAGGCTCAGAGTAAGGAGATTAGCTGAAATTTACCCTGGGGGTGGTGTTTTGTGAGGGCCTACCGAGTCAGATGAGGAGTGTGGTGGAATGTAGATTCCTAGACCTATCCAAACCTCCATTAAGGACAGAGGGTGAGACCCAAGAACATGTATTTTTCATAGCCAGTGAGTCTCACATAAGGCCACTGCCAAATCACCACACAACTCAGATCACATCAGTGGATCCTTTGTTCCATATTTTGACCAACCAAATTATCTTGCCACAAAGAACCACAGTCAAGGCACAAAGGTAAGAAGAGAGTGGACAATGTCCTGTTGAGGTGGGAGAACGGAAATGCCCTCGATGCAGTTTCTCGTCTCAGTCTTGTACCCAAGCAGCAGGTAATCCAGGTTGTTTGGTTTGGCATGCATCTCATCACCTTTTGTGACAACATATGTACCCTATGGGTTGTTTATTTTGGCCTAACTTAAAATGATTTACATTCTCTGAAAAGGGGAATGTCAAAGGATGGTAATAGAGGCGAATGAAGCTGTCTCTCTGGGCCTTTTGCTACAAAAACTACCCTCTTCTACCCTGTTCTCACGGGGCGAGAAAAACTCCATGACCTTTCTTCCTTTCTCGCTTAAACACCTAAGCCAGGGGTCATGGCAGACAACTTGGGAATAACTACTTTTAACATCTTTAAGGCCAGGGCTTTGGACACACCATTCTCTTTCCTCCAATAGCTGACTCTTCCCCAAGTTCCCTTGGGAAAACTGTGGAAGGGCAGATGCCTGTGTCCTGTAGGATCACTTCCATCTCACCTCCAGAGGGGAGAAAGGTGGGCCTACTTCTTGGAGACACCCAACTGCAGGGTCAGGGAGAAACTGGGTTCTCCTTTCTGCCTCCCTTATCCTTCTCCACAAACTCCAACCTCTGGCTAATCCTATGGGTAATGGTAACATTACCCTAGGAAGGGAAAACCAAAGAGATCCCCCTCTTCTTCAATTCCTTTCTAGAGGGTCCCGTTATCCTCTTCCCTGATCCTACTCCTGAACTGAATGCCCAATCTCTGCCCTCAGAAAAGCCTCTCAATTCTACAATCATAACAGCAGCAGCCACTCATCTTTCCAACACAGAGGTACACAAATCCCTATGTGCTCCCTCAAGGACAAGGCTACCCTTGAGTCACAGAAGCCTCTTAAAGGTTTCTGTCTCCTGCACTTTAAGCAAGTTAAGACTCTTTCATGTCGACTTTCTATTTCTAGAGAGGCCTTTTCTTTACAATCAGTCATTGTGCAGTAGGAAACCTGCTGGACTTCAGAGATTACAATCCCCTGGGGCTCACTCTCCCACTACAGTTAAGTAGGGACACTCATCTGTGCTGTCAGGCAGCCCAGTCCTGTCTCTACTCGTTCACACAATGCATCCCAGAGACCAGGTGGTTTCTCAAGATGGCTGAGGACTGGAACCACGTTGACACCAAGCTATCCCAGCAGGTCACAGTAAGGAAGACCTGTTGTCACTCTTCACCCTGCCTCACCCCAATTAGGCTCCATGTCTTGTCACTCCCAATCTGTTGGGGGCCTGATAGTAAGTGGTGCAGCATTCTTCCGGCCAGCCCGGATCCCTGGGTAGAAGAGGGGCCAAAGTTTTTCAGTAAAAGTGTCAGTGAAGGTATAGATATGTGAGCGGTCCGTGACGTTGTAAAAAGACAATGTGCCGGCCTCATAGTCTAGGAATATGCCCACCCTCTTAGGTTTCACCTTGATGTGCAAAGGCGTGAAAGGTGTGGTGGTGGCTGCATACTTGTCCCCATTCCACAGCCGTATTCTCCAGTAGCCAGTCTCAGGGAGTGGAGTCAATTCGCCCTTTCTGCTCACAGAGTCCCGGCATACTCCCACTGCCCAGTGGGTCTTGTCTCCCACCTCCACCTCCCAGTAGTGTCGACCTGAGGTGAAGCCTTCAGTAGCCAAGACACAAGGGTAGAAAGTGAAACGCTGTGGTGTGTCAGGGAGGTCTCGGAGTCTTGTCTCCACAAACTTGACACTCTTCCGATCCTCTGACAGGACAAGGTTAGGATGAGCCGTCTCAGGGTCCAGGGTCACATCCGCTGGCGGGAGAAGCCAGAGTGGGGAGCTAGATGAGGACCAGAATAGCTAAACCCCCCTGCCTTGCTTTCCTAGCCTGCCTGTACAAAGCTTGGCCCATGAAAGGTCCCCAGAACACTGTAGGTTGGTGAAGTTTCTCAAATCATGCTGACTCTTGTTGTATTGAAAAAAAAGAGAAAAAAATGAAAGTCACTGTCTGAAGGAGGGAGGGAGGGCCAGAAAGAAGGCTTCAGATCAAGTGAACTGCAAGTGTGTGCTGGGGACAGGGTGAGCATGGTCTTGAATCCTGTAACAGTCCTGCTCTGTGACTGCTTTTCACTACATAAATGTTAATGATGTTTCCTTTGGTCACTCCCTTTGATTGATGCGTCAGGAACCCTTTAAAGTTTCTAGGTCCCTAGAGAGCAGATGACACCTAAGCGTTCTTACCTCAAGTCTATGATTTAAGGTGGGGCAGGGGGGGACTGGCATTAGAAAGAGGAAGAGGAAACCAACTCCAGGGCTCTGAACCTTCCACTCCTCTGCATGCCCTATGCCTGTTTCCTTTGGGGAACAACTCACCAATTAGCTGTTTGAGGATTTTCCTGAGGGCAAAGTACTGCCGGGGGAAATTACTGAAGTTCTTTTCCAGCTCTATAGATACTGTTGTCACCTCCATGGTCTTCACCTTGTCACATCTGGGAGGGATGGGAGATAAAGAAAGCAAGGACAGGGTCAGGGAGAGCCCCAGCCGAATAATCATGTGAGTGGTGTGGTGTGTTTTCTGGAGAAAAGTGGGACAAGGCCTCTCCCACAGTCTTTCTCCTTGAGGACAGCAGCCTCCTTTTTTTATTATCCCTGGAGAGCTACGAGGTGCTCTTGACAGGCCTGTCTCTTGAGAGTGAGCCTCAGAACTTCAATGGAATATTCCAACATCTCATGCAAAGGGACAGCCACCTCTCCACTGCTCGTACTCCTGTGCTCCCAACCCTTCCACCATCTTGTTTGCACACAGCCCCACCCACAGGCTTGGCAGAATCTGGCTCCTCATTATCACTGCTCTGACCAGAGGTGACCTGATGTCAAAAGGGAGGTGAAGTGTCATCACTCCTAATGGGTTTATCCTTCTTCACATCTCACTAAGACACTGTATGGATTTCCCTTTGTTACTTCCTCCAAGTCACTACTAACCCGTAGCTTCCAAACCAAGACCTAACTCAGACAGTCACTTACTTTTCCAGGGTACTTTTCACATCCTAGAGGAAAAGAGAAAACAAAGTAAGATTGGTCCTAGAATTCATGGGTCATGAAGGCAAACAGGTTCTCCCTCCTCCCCAACAGTGCTAGGTCTTTAAACTAGGCACCAGGCAAACTGAGGGCCCAGTGCAAGGGGCTTGCTTCAGAGGGACCTGAGTGTGTGTCTGTCTCTCATGGAATGCCCAATTCCAACTGCTGGTCATAACAAAGCTTGATAGTTAATAGCACTTCCAAATCATTTCCTGTACTTGTGCTTCTCTTCCTCAAAGACACTGGAGGCTCCCTGTAGGGGACAGAGGTTGTGTCTGCTCTTTTGTCCCCCAGATTCCAACCACACACCTCAGCATCACTGAGAAGCAGTGCAGACAATTCCAGACTGGTGGCACAGGATGCTTCCCACTGTGTTCTGGACATCCCTGCCTAGCACTGATAAACACCAGTTTATATCAACTCTGATTTAAGACTATTTGGGATCCAGATGACAAATACAACAAATCTCATCCCTGCAGAATTTCAAGTTTAATGCAGTAAGCAGAGCACACACAAATGAAAGCCAAAGGGATAAATACCATGGAACATATAATACACATGAGTGTGCATTGATACTTCAATTGAGGTAGTGGTCTTATCTGAAATGAGAAATATGCTTGCTACAGCCTTGTCATCATCACGTACCTGAAGATGGACTGTATCAAACGTTTCAGAGGTAGCAATGTACTACTTTACTACTTAAACATTCTGAGTATCCTTTAAGTTATGCTTCTATTTCCCCTGCTTTAGTACTAGGTAAATTAAGTTCTAGGACTGGAAAGTAAGGGTAACTGTATTTACAAATATGGGAACACACAGGGTATCACTAAGTAGAAAGGACTTTTGTCTTCTGGAAAGGATTATCTTGGGGGTACAAATTACATACATTAAAGAAGATTTGTTTTATGTGTATGAGGAGCTGCAGTTACAGAGTGTTGTAAGCTGCCATGTGGTGCTGAGAACTAAACCTGTGTCCCCTCTAAGAGAAGCAAGTGCTCTTAACCACTGAGCCATCTCACTGGCTCCAAGCATATAATTTCCCGAAAATACATGAGGATATAAATAAATTTTGGAAGGGGTGGTGAAAATCTGATGTGCCCAACTCTAGACAAAGGTCCTCTGCACACATATGAAGAGAAATCTGGGCTTAGGGGAATAGAGTAAGAGAGGGGGCACCCCATGCTGACAGGATGGACTGCACAAAGCTAGACTGCATCTGACCCAAGGAACTATACAGGAGCAAGGTTCGAACCTTAAGCATCTCGAAGCCTGACTGTAAGCACTTGTCCTCCACCTCAGTAACTAAGTAGGTCAGGTCCCAGCGCCTCTCCCCAAGGTGAGCAGCATTTTTTCGAAGCCTCTGTAGAATGTCCTGCTCTTCTTTTTCCAGTCTGGAAAGGAGAGTCTGCTGTTCCTCATCCAGCCTCCTGTGGAGCTCTTCAAACTCCTTTAGGATTTGCTGTCTGCGGCTCTCCACTAGTCTCTGAGAACAAGGGAGGATGCTGTCAGGACCAGGAGGCCTGAAGGAGCCTCTCCCAGACTCACCAGGCTCAGTACAGACTTCCTTGTCACATGGAAGACCTCAGCAGTGTTCATGTTTCTCTCCCTGTGAGGCAAGTAGTCACCTGCACTCCCCCAAAGGGAGTTGATAGTGTAAATCAGTAGAAAGATTTAAGATAATCAATACCTCATTTTTTAAACCTAAATTAACCTTTTATATTTTAATAAAAAACATTCAAGATTCAAGTACTCAATGATGTGATGATATCCACTATTAGGGATATCAGAGATATTTTTGCTATTTTCTACTCTGATATTTGGCTTATACAGTCTGTTAAAATGCAAATACTAGAAAGCCAAAGATTTCCATCACTAATAACCATGACACATTATTCTGATAAAACCAGAGAACAGATAAGCTACTACAATCAGGATCAGTTTAATGAGTTGATGTAAAGTATATATTTAGACTTCATGGCTGAACTTGTTTTGCTTGCTGTTTCTATTTTTTTGTTTTCCATATAGGGTCTTGTAATATATAGCACAAGCTAGCTTTGAACTTGGAATCCTCCTTGAAAGGTTCAGGCATTATGCTGGCCTGCCCATGTTACCTGGTGGAAGAGGCAGTACCCTGGTCTGCTCTGGGTTCCATGGGAACTAAGTCTGCATGAAGGTGCAGAGGACCCCTTTAATAGACAGATCCCTGGGCTGGAGAGATGGCTCAGAGGTTAAGAACACTGACTGTTCTTCCAGAGGTCCTGAGTTCAATTCCCAGCAACCCCAGGGTGGCTCACAACCATCCGTTATGAGATATGGTGCCCTCTTCTGGTGTGCAATGAGATATACATGGAAGCAGAATGTTGTATACATAATAAATAAATAAAATCTTTAAAAAAAAAAAGACAGATCCCTGCCCATATATGCTCTCTCTACACTTCTCTCTATATACTCTATACTCTCCTCTGTGCTTCTGCTTCTCTTCTCTCTCTCCCTGGCGAACAGCCATGGCCGGTAGCCCTTAACCCTGTTTCTCTTCTCCTTTAGTCTCCCTACTCTGCTGGACCTGTAATATACTGGTTAATATGTCTAATATGTCTCTTAGTCTTATGTCTCATCTGCCTTTTTTCTTATTTATTTTTAACTTAAACAAAAGAATAACACTTCTAACTTGTGGGCATGCACCCTCTAAACATGTTAAACATTTTAAGTCATTTCTGATGGGTTGAGAACTCCTGGGAAGAAGCTGTGTCTGTGAAGGCTAACTCATTAGATAGTGATGTGGAGGCAGGTTGGATGGACAGTTGCAGGCCTGAAGCCTACTTACATTTTGTCTTGGGCTATCTTTAGCCTTCTAATTAGCCTTTCTCATGCCTACTTCTGTGCTGGACTTAACATCCTGTGATTAAGAGATAAAACATGTATTAATTTAATAAATCTCTAATTTTTGCCAACCAAAGACTAAGTGTGACCAGACAGCATCTGAGGCCTATAGCTGAGATTACTCCACTTTGCTGTATACATTTCAGGTTTCCACCAATGTTCCTTAAAAGTGCCTTGCTCTATTCTTTTTTTATTGTGTTCTATAAAACTTCATGAAACCATTTCTAAGTTGAAGCATGTAAGTTGGGTTAAACTAAATCTGTGTTTCAAGGCCTTGGTCTCTCATATTTGCCTTCAGAATAAATTCTTATCCCCTGTGATGGGTGGTGAGAGTTGTTTTTTGTGTTGACAGAGAATAGGTATTTACCATTCCAGGATCATATTCCAGATATTGTTTAGTAAATTAGTTGCTTAAAATTTGCACTCTGCCTGTGCCTGAGAGCCTTCATCCAGTAGCTGTTGGAAGCAGAGGCAGACACCCACAGCTAAGCACTGAACCCTACTCCTGGAATCCAGTTGTGGAGAGGGAGAAGGGATGAGCAAATGACCCAAGACAGTGCTGGAGAAACCCACAGAAAGAGTTGACCTGACCTACTGAGAGCATGGAGATCCTAGTCATAAACCTGGGGAAACAAGCCGGCTGTTGGTGGCACACGCCTTTAATCCCAGCACTGGAAGGCAAAGGCAGGCAGATCTCTGTGAGTTCAAGGCCAGCCTGGTCTCCAGGTGAGTACCAGGATAGCTCCAAAAGCTACTCAGAGAAATCCTGTCTCGAAAAAACAAAAAACAAAAACAAAAACCTGGAGAAACAGCATTGGACTGATCCAAGCCCTCTGTATGTGGGTGCCAGCTAGGAGTCCAAGACAATCTATGGGACCTCTAAGAGATGAACCAGAGTTTATCCCTATTACACAAATGGACTTTGGGAGCCCATTCCCTATGGAGGGATACTATTGCAGCCCAGATACAGCAAGGAGGGCCTGGGCCCTCCCCCAAATGACATGACAGACTTTGAAGGTTCCAGTGTAGGAGTTGGTGGATGAGTTGGGGGGGGGCTGTTAGCATGGGAGGATGGTAGGGTGAGAGAATGGGAATATGGATATGTAAATATGAGTAGTAATTAAAGAATTAAATAATCAAATAAAAAGTGAGTACAGGCAGATGCAGCCAGTGTGCTGTCAGTCTAATCCCCCCCCCCCACCAAAAAATCTGAAACATGCTCTTGATAGCAGCACATACTTTAACTTCTGTAAACATCCTTGAAGTTGGAGAGCACAGGACTCCGACAGCAGTCACCCCATTCTCTGAGGGTCATCAGCACACCCTCCTCCCTCTGTGCCTTCCTGTAAGTGACCATCCCCAGGGAAGGGGTCTAAGGACCTTGTGACTGACAGGGAGGCACCACTCAAAAGACAAGGAGAGATGGGACTCTGAAACAAGAGGGCAGGGACAGAGAGTCAGTGCCAGGCTGAAGAATGGCTGGGATTAAACAAGAGCCATGAGCCTCACAAGCTTGGCAGTCCTGATCTGAAGCTACTTCTACTGCCACAGACAACAGATGGGCTTTCATTGCAGGGCTCCTTGCTGCTTTCTCAGGCAGGCAGTGGAACAGGATGCATTCTCACCTTTGTCCTGAACATGGATTTGCAATGGGGTGGTTTTAGAAGCAGGTGTGCTTGATTGTACTTATGAGATTTTCTTTTAGGGGCCTGAGACTTGCCTTGGTGGTTAAGAATGCTTGCTTCTCCCTGGGAGTTGGTGGCACAGGCCTTTAATCCCAGTACTCCTGAGGCAGAGGCAGAGGCAGGTTTATCTCTGTGAGTTCAAGGCCAGTCTGGTCTACAGAGGGAGTGCCAGGACAGCCTCCAAAGCCACAGAGAAAACCTGTCTCTGTCTAGAAAAACCAAAAAGAAAAAAGAAAAAAAGAAAAGTATGCCTACTTCTCTTCCAGGGGACTTGAGCTTGGTTCCCAGTACACACACTGGGTAGATGGAAAATGCCTGTAACTCTAGATCCTGGGGATCTGATTTGTTCTCTTCTGGTCTCTGAGAGTGTGTACATGGGCAGGCATGCACACATACATATATACACACATACATATACACAAAAACCAAAAAAAGAGAACACTGTATTTTGATTTTCTAAGACTTCACCACCAAGTTGCTTGGGAGTCTGATGACATCCCCCTCAGGTTGAGCTCACATTTGTTTCACCTGATAATGTCACACACCGGTGCAAGCCTATGACCATGCTACAGTGGCTTTTCACGTATCAGACTGTATTAGAAAGTACTTCTAGGGCTGGAGAGATGTCACAGAGGTTAAGAGCACTGACTGCTCTTACAGAGGTCCTGAGTTCGGTTCCCAGCAACCAATGGTGGCTCACAACCATCCCTTATGAGATTTGGTGCCCTCTTCTGGTGTGCAGATATACATGGAAGCAGAACGTTGCATACATGATAAATAAATTTTTTAAAAAAAGCACTTTTAGCTGGGAGAGGTCTGCATGCCTTTAATTTCCATATTCAGGAGGCAGAGGTAGACAGGGCTTTAAGAGTTCAAGGCCAATCTGGCCTAAATAGATTTCCAGGCCAGCCAAAAATACATAGTGAAGCTCTATCCCAAAATAACAACAAAGCAAAACAAAAAATCCCATCACTTTATGATGTTATTGGATAGGACAGTCTCTTTAAAATTATGTAGGTAGGTTATCTTTTTTTGAGGTAGGGTTTCTCTGTGGCCTTTTGTAGGAACTCACAGAGATCAGCCTGCCTTTGCCTCCCGAGAGCTGGGTCAAAGGCGTGAGCCACTACCGCCTGTCTTGTTGGTAGGTTTATCTTATCTGAATTTCCCAGGCTGGCCTGTGCAGGCTCTGAACTTGTGATGTGAACTTGTAATATTTCTTCTCCAGCCTCCTCTGTGATTACAGGTGTGCACAACCACACCCTCTTCATAAGCTTGTATTTTTTGACTGCTGCGTTGGTAAACAGATGCCATTCCCTCAATCCTTACACAATTTTTAATTAAAAACAAACAAACAAACAAACAAACAAACAGGGTTTTACTGTTTAGTCTTGGATGTTCTCACTTGCAACCCGCTCCTGTCCTAGTATCCTGAGTGTGGGGATTATATGTATATTTTGCTTCTTCAAACTTTAATAATTTAAAAAATTTAATTTACTTTTATTTCATGTGCATCGGTGTTTTGCCTTCATGTAGGGCTGTGTGAGGATGTAGGATCCTCTGGAATTGGAGTTAGATAATTTTCATCTGCCATGTGGGTGCTGGGAATTGAACCTGGGACCTGTAGAAGAGCAGCCAGTGCTCCTAGACACTGGGACATCTCTCCATGCCCCTACAAACTGTTTAAAGGAGTTATTGAGTCCAATTTTGGAGGTTGAGGTGATAGGGAAGCAAAGGGGCAAAAAGTTGGGGTAGGACAAATTTAAATCACAGAGGGAATGTTTTGAATTGCAGTTTAAATACACCTGAAATAAAAATTTATAATTAAAGACAACAGTTACACTTCGGTTCAAATATTACCATGGCTTCAGGAGAAATGCCTTGCATAGGCTCATGCATTTGAGCACTCGGTCCCTCTTAGGAGCTTTGCAGAGGTTAAAGAACCTTTTGGAGGTGGAGCTTTGCTGCAGGAAGTACGTCACAGGGACAGGCTTTGAGAGTTTACTGATTTACCCTTCTTCCTGTTTGCTCCACTTCCTGTGCTTGTATCAAAATCTGATTTGGCAGGGCGGTAGTGATACTCGCCTTTCATCTCACTACTCAGGAGGCAGAGGCAGGCAGCTCTCTGTGAGTTCAAGGCCAGCCGGATCTAAAGAGAGAGGGCCAGGATAGGCTCCAAAGCCACAGAGAAACCCTGCATCAGAAAAACAAAACAAAACAAAACAAAAAAACAAAACAAAACAAAAAAAACTGATGTGGCAGCTTCCTGTTCCTGCTGCTATATACACTGCCTTCCTGACATTGCAGACTTTCCTTCTGGAACTGCAAGCTAAAATAAAACTTTTAATCCTAAAGTTACTCTGGGTCAAGGCATTTTACAAAGACCTGCACTCCACAGGTGAAGGCTGAATGAGCCAACATTGCCTTATGTTACTTAAGGATTCAGTTCTAAGTCAAATGTTACGGTGCACGCCTTTATTCCCAGCACCTGGGAAAGAAAGGCAGGTGGACCTTTTTGAGTTTGAAGCCAACTATGTCTACATAATGAGTTCCAGGCCAGCCAAGGCTATATAGTAAGACTCTGTCAAAGAAACAAACAAACTGGTTCTGTTGGGCTGGAAGGTTTAAGAGCACTAGCTGTTTGTTCTTCTAAGGACCTGAGCTCAATTCCTACCTGCAACCAGCCATTGGTAACTCAAGTTCTGGGGGATCTGACACCCTCTTTTGGCCTCTTTTGGGCATCAGGCAGGCAGGTGGTGCAAAGACACACATAAGCAAAACACCCATACACATAAAATAAAACAGAATAATTAAAAACAAACAAACAAAAAGGTCACTACATAGCTCTGGGAGCTCTGTCTCAGCCCCTCCCTCTTTCCCTGTGACCTTTCCAAATTCTCTTTCCCCATGCAGCATTCACCCCCCCCCACCCCCACCCCCCCCAGACATAAGATTTCCCTGTAGCTTTCAAGCCCGTCCTGGCACTTGCTCGGTACACCCAGGCTGGCCTTTTGTAGGAACTGACAGAGATCTGCCTGCCTCTGCCTCCTGAGTGCGCCACCACCGCTGCCCCATGTCTGTTTACTTAAAAAGTATTTACTATTGTGTGTGTAGTGTGCGTATACACACAGTGAGTGTGTGAGCATGGGGGTCACAGTGCATGGATGGAACTCAGATGTCTACTCTGAAGATTCATTTTTACATTTCTACCTTCATGTGGGCTTCAAGTCTTGATTCTGGGACAGCAAACATTTGTATGCACTGAGCCGTCTCGTCAACACCTTCATTTCTTCTATCCTTCTCCTCAGTACTTAGGTGATAAAGCTAATGAAATATCACTTCTAGAGAACAGCAGTTTCCAGTTAAATCAAGTAAAGTGCTGTTGATTGGCTCATAGGCAAATATCCAGCCAAGCAGTGAAGGCAACAGATTGCCTGCTCTACCTTGAGCTCCCCTGGTTTCTTTTCTTCAGAGGCTTTGCAGCGGCTGATATCCCGAAGCTTCTGGTTCAGGAGCTCAAGGCACTTCTGCAGTTTCTCCTGAGCTTTGGGAGGAAGTAGGAGAGGAGACATTTGGAGTTAGAGGATACTCAAGAGCTTAGCCCATTTATCATCTCTTTTGTTTTCAGTCATGTGAATGTGCAAATGTCTGTCTGAGTGTATGTGCGTACCTGTATGCTGGTGCCCACGGAGGCCTGCAGAGTGCATCAATCAATCAGATCCCCTGAGACTGAAGTTATAGGCATCAGTGAACTGTCAGCCTGGTACATGCTCTTAACTGCTAAGTCATCCCTATACTCATTGACTATTCTTCCCTTGAAGCACTTGGGATCAAATGCAGGGCCTCAAGCAGGCTGGCAAATGCTCTACCTCTAAGGCACATTCCCCACTCCTAAATCATTTAATTTCTATCCTCTCATCACTTCATGATCTAACCCTCTTCCTTGCCTACAACTGGACCTTTCATAGATGTCTTTTTCCCTGCCTTGTCTGTGGCACACCTGACTCTCCTCCCTGAATCCAGTAGGCTAGCTGTCATCACTTGTTTCCTTTCCCACTCTATTTTCTTATGGACAACTGCCCATCACACCACTCCTAGTTATGTTTGTTTTGTTTTGTTTATTCTGGTGGTGCTGAGACTCCATGCAGGGTGAGTGCACTAAGAACACAGTCTGTTACCAGGTCACACCTTCCATCAGCTAGAAGTTACCTTTTATATCTCTGTCTGTCTGTCTGTCTGTCTGTCTGTCTATCCTATCACTGTAAAGTTTCCATCAGCCAGGTCACACCCTCTCTTAGCTAGAAGTTACCCCTTGCACCTCGATATCTTTATTTTTTCATGGTGAGGTCTCTCTAGCAGCCTGGCCTGATTTCAAACATGTGGCATGGATGACCTTCAACTCTCCATCCTCCTGCCTCTACCCTCTGAATATTGGGATTATAAATGTATATCACCATGCCTGTCTTGATATCCTTGTTAAATTAGTGCTTCCATTCAGAGCTAACCATTTATAAATAAAATAAAACTGGACTATAAATTACCTGACATATTTTTCAAGAAGTTGTTAATTAAGTAGAATGAGTGGAAACTTGACTGTTAGCATCTCCCAAACTATTTTTCAGACCCTTTTGCTGTTCACTCATTCATTTAAAATCTGACAGATTCCAGAACCATACCCAACAGAACTCTGAAGACTTAATTTTATTGCAGTAGGTCAGACAAATCTGTGGGCACTCCCCAGTGCTCCTGTTGAGGGGGAGGGACTAGATGTCCTGAATACCCATGTACATAGTTCTGAGGGGAATGGAGAGGAACAGAGATAGCCTTGCCTCAAGAGCTTAAATCCCTCTAACTCAGAGAGTATGTATGCTCTTTCCTGCACAGGCCTCTTGAGTCTGGACACCCACCTACCTTGCACTCCTTTGTAACATCATCCAGTTGCAGGATGGTGTGGGCTTGCTGGGTATGATATATTGCACATGTCGGACAGACAGCCTCCTGGTCTTCGTAGCAGAGGAGGCTCATTGCCTCCTGGTGTTCAAAACAAAGGTTTTCTTCTCTGATCTTCTGCGTGAAGCCTTGGAGTTGCTTGGCGATTTCCACCATACTTCCCAGTTGTCTATTAGGCCGGAGATTCTGGTATTGGGATGTCTTTTGGCAGACCGGGCAAGGGAAGTCCTGCTCTAGGTCCTCCCAACAGCAGGTGATGCAGGCTTTGCAGAAGTTATGCCCGCATCCAAGGATCATCGGCTCCTTTAGATAATCCAGGCATAGGGAACAGTTTGCCTCCACTTGCAGTTTCTCCAAGGCAGCAGCCATGGAGGCTCCATGAGCTTCATCCTCTAACTTACTTATCTCTGCCATTATTTAACTTAGAGATGGGGAGAGAGAAAAAAATATTAGTTGGAGGGTTACATTTCTTCTTGCACTCCTATCCTGACATTAGCTCCCATAAAGCCCCATCTTGGTATCTTCCCACCTCTTCCAATAGACTCACCTGTTGCTCTGTTTACAGCATTTGCGATTTGTAGCTAATATACACTTGCCTTTTCTGATTCAGCAAACAAAAGCAGTCCCTAGTTACCTTTTTGGTTTTTTGAGACAGGGTTTCTCTGTGGCTTGGAGGCTGTCCAGGAACTTGTTCTGTAGACCAGGCTGGTCTGGAACTCTCAGAAATCTGCCTCCCTCTGCCTCTGTGTTGGGATAAAAGGCGTGGCCCACCACTGCCCCTCCCCTAGTTATCTTTTTCACATCTGTTGTCATTACAAACAGAAGCATCCTTTAACTCTAACTCTAATAGATGAAAAAAGAGCCTGATGTTGTGGCACAAACCCAATAGTCCAGTATTTCTGAGGTCAAGGCAAAACTTGAAGGCCAACCAGGGCTACACAGTGAGTTCCCGGCCAGGTGAGAGTATTCAGATCTTTAAAGGTAGGGAAGGAAGCCTAGAAAGTGAGCTTTGTCACATAAGCCAAAGTACTCTATCTGGGTGTGGTAGCTCACTGTGAGGCAGGAGGATCAGATCAATACAAGCATGAGGCTAGCCTCGTCTGTTAAGTAAGATCTTGTTTGAAAACACTATTTTAAAATAAGATATTTCTCAAGGTGTTTTGTTTTTGTCTGTTTGCTCTTTTTTTTTTTTTTTTTCTTTCTTTTTCAATGCAGCTTTGGCTGGCAGTACTGGAACTCTTAATTTGGGTTTTTTGTTTGTTTGTTTGTTTTTTAAAGGAACTTCATACCTCTACATAAAATAATATTAAAAAAAATAAATCCTGTTCCTTACTGGGCTGTGGTGGCACATGCCTTTGGTTCCAGCACTCTGGGAAGCAGAGGCAAGCAGATCCCTTGAGTTCAAGGCTAGCCTGGTCTCTGGTCTACAAAGCTACACAGAGAAACTCTGTCTCAGAAAAACCAAAAACCAAAAAAAGAAAAAAAGACCTACTTCTTATAGTGTAACACATAGAAGTTTTAGGATTTTTTTTTTTAAACTAGAGTTTAACCTTGATTGTCTGCTACTCCCTTTTTCAAAGGGTAACACACTGAATGAGTTACACTACAGCAACAAATCCATCCAGGGAAATGTTAAATTGTTGTGCCCAGATTGCCGAACCCCAAAAGAACCTTCCAACAAGAAGACAACTCCCCGAAGTAAAGACAAAAGTTTGTTTATTGACTGGGGGATACCAGCTGCAGCAAGGACCCCATTGTTTTAAGAACAAATGGAGTACCCACTTTCAACTGAGGGCTGTTTTTATAAGGGAAAATTGTAGGGCTGGCAGCCTCAAGATTACAAAACTTCCCTGGTTACACAGGATGGAACAATGAATATATGCTTAGCAGGATGCTGCAGAGGAAATGAATTTGTTAATTATCTCCTGAGCTGAGGGCTTCTATAATTTATAACTGCTGATCCTCTTTGGACTAGAGGAATGTCTACACAGCTCAAGGGTATGATATCTGGTCTAAGACCTTGAGTCAGGTGGACCTTTGTTTTACCTTGTCTGTTGGGCTGCCTTTTGGGAACTCAGAGAAGTTTAAGAGGTTTTCTATTTGGGCTTTGGAATCCAGGTTTTAGACTTTTATTAATGTTTCCCTTTCAAAATCATTCCTCCTTTCCCTGGACTAGCCAAAAGGAAGAATGCTCCCTCCTAGATGTGTCTCTCAGGCATCCTTTTTCTATCAGTTTGCCGCTGGAATGGCTGCCAAGCAACACATACATTTCAACTCTAGGAGAACATGATTGAGCAGAGGGTGATACCTTTTTAAAGAGAGCTGGCAAGTTCTCCCCCCCCCCAGACTACTGTGGAATGCTCCTGGCTGTCCTGGAGCTTCATATGCAGACCAGGCTGACCTTGAACTCACAGAGAGCAGCCTGCCTCTGCCACCCCCTTTGCTGGGATTAAAGGTGTGTCCCACTACACCCTTTGAATCTAGAATTTCAAGATGGATACAGATAAATAATTCCTTGGGCATTCAGTGGATTGACCAGGAATTAAAAGAAGGAAATTTGGGCTGGAGAAAATGGCTCAGTGGTTCCAAACATTGGCTGTCCTTCCAGAGGACCAGGGTTCAATTCTCACCACCCACAGTGGTGAGTTCACAACTGGCAGTTCACAACTGTCTGTTATTCCAATTCCAAAGGATCTGATAATCCTTATACAGACATGCATGCAAGCAAAACACCAATCAATGCTCATAAAATAAAAATAAATTGGTTTGGAGACATGGCTTAGTGGTTAAGAGCACTGGCTGCTCTTCCAGAAGTCCTGAGTTCAATTGCCAGCAACCACATGGTGGCTCACAACCATCTATAATGAGATCCAGTGTGCTCTCCTGGCCTTCAGGCAGAATACTGTACACACAATACATACATCTTTAAAAAAAAAAAAAGGAAAATTTCCAGGTATGGCGGCACATGCTTGGAATGAAAAACCCCTGGAGGCCCAGGACCGAAGCAACCCCAATCACTAGGCTGAGACGATGCTTGATGCAAACAGCAAGTTTCTTTTGCAGTTGTTTAAGGAGCTTACCCCATGTTAGCTAGGGCCTTCCATCCATCCACCATGGCGAATGGCTGGGGAAAAATTCAGAGAAGCCACAGGATAGAGATCTTATAGGGCAGCATAAGGGGATTGTCCAGGGGTTCTCACAGGCTCAGGATTGGTGCGCCTCCAGGCTTGGAGGACTTGCCCTGTATTGATTGGTCAACTCGTTGTTACGGCCCTTGGGTACTCCCAGGGTGATTATTATGCTCTGCATGTCATTGCTGTGCACTTGTCCATAAAGCACACCCAGAGCGGTAAAGCATGGCACTACCAGCTAACTTCTGATTGGTTCCTTGCCACGAGGCAGGCATCTGACCACCTAGTGACCAAGGCAAGGTCAGGCAAGCAGGTATTAGGCTGTTATGGCTGCAAATGGGGAGCAGGTCCCTTCAGGAGCATCAGGTGTCCAGGTATGTGGACCTTGTCCACATTTAAGTATGACCACCTTGTCACCTGAAAAGTGGCAAAGAATTAAAGCCCTATTAGAAACAGCCTTACATTTGGAAATACACCAGAAAGACACACAGAAGGCTGGTCCCCACATCTTTAAGTGGTCAACACTTAACTTCTCTGGTCCCACAACCCCTACTTCCCTTCTGCCCCAGAAAGCAACCGAAACAAAGGAAGGAAACCTGGTAGTCATACACACTGACAGAAAAGTGGTCGGGCAGAAATTACTATTTCTGTACACTGGTAACACAAACTGATGAGTTTTAATTGGTGCTGGATTCTGGCCTGTATGAATCCCATGCTACAGAGGCCATGTATTCCGGACTGGTATCTTCAGAGCTGCCATTGGAACCAGCTGAACAGCCCCAAGTCGGACCAAGAGTGGGGCAGTGTGGATCAGGAAAGTCCTAGCTACCCAATAGCATTAATGAATAGACAGAGAAATATTGTCATTTCAGGAGGGCTCCAGTCAGTACTGGAGACCATGGCTTTTTTTTTTTTAGCATCCTCTTAAATAGCTTTCCAAAAGTGGGGTTGCTGGAAGAAGACATCTATTATCATGTATAGAGCTGATATCAAATATTTCCTTTAATCCTCAAGATAGTCCTTGAAGCCAAGTACTCAAGCCTTCTGGCATCAGGCACTAGCCTTCAAGATAGGTGTAGCCCACCCAGTGCCTAGTCTATTGTTATACAAACTAGGAGACATTCTCCACATTAGCCAAGCTGTCAGGGAGGTAACCAGCAGACATCAAAAAGACAATGGGAGGGTGGAGCTCCTGGAATGGAGCTTGACACCTGTATCAGAAATATCATATTCATATTCAGACCCTGAGGTTGGCAATTTACCTCTCTAGAACGTAGGGAAGGAATTCAGACCCAGATTAAGTTCACTTGGATGACTTCTTTCTCTACTCATTAGAATCCAATTTTGAACAGTGACTCTGCCCCCTACCCAGTCTTAGAGAGGTCAGACAGCATCCTCATCTCAATAATAGAATTACACACACACTCCAGAGGGAGTGAAGTTCCCTGTCTACTGCTAGGTTTTAAAGACAAAAGTTACAGGATTACATCAGTAGGTATGGGTTATTTTCTGATTGATTGACTTTTGTTCCAAGAGAGAAACAGGGCTCCCAGAGTCAGTGAAGAAGGGAGAGAATTTGGAACTGCTGGTGGTGATAGAGAGAGAGGGCAGTCAGAATATGGCTTTGTGCTCCTCCAGCTTGGTCCTTCCTCTTTCCCCATTGCACTAACTTCAGAGGCATCCTTGTTTGGTCTTTTTTTTTTTTTTTTTTTTTTTTTTTCTTTTTTATTCTCTCATTGTACCACCTTGGGAGCCTCTCTGGAGCACTAGCCACAACTCCATCCCACCCGGTCTCCATCTTTTCCTAATGGCCATATCAGAGACATGAGGACCAGAGTGAGGGCGCACACACACGCGCGTGTGCATTCTCTCTCTCTCTCTCTCTCTCTCTCTCTCTCTCTCACTCACCCTCTGTCTCTGTCTCTCTCTCTCTGACACACTGTGGTCAGCAGGGAGGGACACATGTGTAAGTGAGGGACAGAGAGGTGTAAGGAGAAGGTAGGATGCCTACTGCTGCCATTCGGCAGACCAGACCCATGGTGGGAGGCGACTGCCTCAGTTTCACCCGGGGGAGACTGAAAGCATAAACTAAACCCAAAGGCTTCACATCTAGAAATGAAGGGACCAGACCCTCACTCAGCCCCTGCTTTAGCAGCCATGACAGGCTACACAAAAGACACATAGGCCTCTTATACAAGGAAATTCCAGATCCTCTGGCCTCCCCGAGCCTAGGGCCAAAACTGAGCACAAAGAAACTCCAGAATCTGCCTATCCTCCTGGATACTTGGTTCCTGGGAACTGTTTGGCCATAAAAGAAACTGCAAGGAAGACCAAAACCGCCCCTGTATTCTCCAGGATATAGTTCTGAAAACTATTGGTATCTATGAACAACAGTCCACCTGCAAGTAACAATACAAAACCATAGAAACCACATATTATTCCCTCTTAGCACTGACCAACGAGAATAATTGGAATGAAGGGACCAGCTCCTCATTTTGGCAGCAATAACAGCCTAACATGTGTTTGCTTGACCTTGCCTTGGTCATAGGAGGCCAGATGACTGCCTTGTGGCAAGGAAACAATCATAAGTTAGCTGTTAGTGCTATACTTTATGGCTCTGGGTGTGCTTTATGGACAAGTACACAGCAATGACGTGCAGAGCATAGCAATCACCCTGGGAAGGCCTACAGGCCATAACGAGTTGACCAATCAACACAGGGCAAGTCCTCCAAGCCTGGAGACACACCAAACCGGAGCCTGTGTGTACCCCTAGACACTCCCCTTATGCTGCCCTATAAGATCTCTATCCTGTGGCTTCTCTGAATCTTTCCCCAGCCATTCGCCATGGTGGATGGATGGAAGGCCCTAGCTAACATGGGGTTAGCTCATTAAACAACTGCAATAAAGCTTCTTGCTGTTTGCATCAAGTTTTCGACTCCTCCTGGTGATTGGGGTCATAGAGGTCCTGGGCAGATATCCTGGGGGCCTGAGCCTCCAGGTGTCTTTCAGGTATACAGGTATTTCATGCCAAAATATGACTTTGAGAAAATCTGAATGTCAAGCATTCAGAAACTAATATGTACCTATTGATGTAACCCTGTAACTTTTGTCTTTAAAACTTAGCAGTAGACATCGTAATTCACTCCCTTTGGAGGTTGCTGCATCAGCTAGCCAGACAT